TCCATTATTTTAGCAAACACAACACGCACACCCCGCCTCACTTTTACAATGCCAATGCAGCTACAAGCAATTTTTTTCCCGTGCACAAAATAAATATAAAAGCGTTGAAACGAAAACATTTTGGAACAATATAAAAATGGCAAAAACGAATGCTCTTGGACGCTGTGGGTGGATGGGTGGTTGGGTGGTTCGGTGTGTGGGTGTGTGGCTGGTTTATAGTTGGAATGGGGTGGTGGGGGGAGTAAAGGTACAAGCCCTAAAAGAGAGTGGGGTCAAGGGTTGAGGGGGCGGCGTTTATTGGCAACAGTGTTGCTATTTGTGTAAACGACTCGTAAAATTTTATGTTGAAGCTGTTTCATAGTAGTGGCGCTTTCGTTTTTTCATCGCTCCTCTGTGTTATTCCTACCCCAGCTGCTTTTTCTCGCCAGCCAGCACATGTAAGGGGGTCAGGGGTCAGCCTACAATTGAGTTGCATGTGGTCGTTGTTTCTTCTGCGGAAGGATTGCATACTTTTTCGGATTGCATACTCGTCCTGCGTTTCGATGGGCAAATGGCGCAAATGATTGTAAACACTGATTACAATTATGCGGGAGGAAACTGTAGGTGTGTGTGTGTGCGCTTATCTGCCCATTACCCCCCATCCTTCTGCTGCCATTTTCTTTTCAATTTGTATTGTTGTCAGTTCCAGCAGAATTGACATCTATTTTATGTTGCAGCTGCATTTCAATTTTGCCATCACCCCCCCTTAGTCCACATGTCGGAATGGGGTACGGAATACATGTAAATATTGGATATTGATTGCATTCCGCTTCGCCTGCCAACTTGTCAATGTCAACATGGTGGCGAAGAGGGGAAAGCGGTTGAGGCCGGGAAATGCGTGATAGATCGCTCAACAATGGCGCCAGCGGAAATGGGGAATACTTTTATTGAAATTCATTAGCCGAACGCTGCAAAAGTTTGCATATTTACTGCCGTCCTGTCACATAATATCCCATCTTTTTTCCTTTTTTTTTTTTGATTCAATGAAGTGCAACTGACATTGCAGTTGGCTTCTCAATTTGGATGTAATTATGACTGGCTCACTGGGGTAAAATGTCCAACTGTCACCGAGAATCTCTTGAAACAGGGGTCCATTATATGTCCTTCGACATTCTCTGTATTTTGAGGGGATGAGCACGAGAGCAAAGATTTAATTTGCTGATGAAGTTCGTTTGTCTGCAGTTTGCTCCCAATCTCCCTGCTATGCAAATAGCCAAATGTTGAACCTGTCACTGCTGGCAAATATGATCCACTACCGAATTGGTCGAGCTGGGAGCCCCTTGATGTTTGTGCTCCGCATTCTGTGCCCCAAATTAGAAACAAATTTGTTGAATAAAATCAAAAAAGTTGATTAAATGCAGGCAAATGAAGATGGGTCCTTGGCTGCCAATTAACATCAGTGCAAAAACACCAATAGATGTTTTTCGTCTGCCAAATGAAATTAATTTAATTTCAAATTCCTGAATTGCGATCATCTCCTCCTGCTGAGCAAAAACCAAATAAGTTGCAGCCGAAACATCTGCAAAAACTATCTGTGTGTGTGTGTTTTGTTGGCTTCTCCTGTGGCTCACTTATCATCGCCTTGTACAAACAGAGTAAAGCGGCTAATTGCGTTATTTTTTGGCTTCTGCTTTCTGGTTTTTGGTTGCGTATGAAAGTACAATTTTTCCGCTGCACATGTATAATATATTTGTTTTATCAGGGGCGCCCAAATGTCTGCGTGCCAGAAGGAAATGGTTTAATCTTGTTTGCCACGACTGGAAATATGGCCAGGGCAAAGGTTAAAAATAAATGACGCGTTTCGGGCACCCAACACAAGTGTTGTCAAAGGCATCAAAGTGCCTGCCCACACACACTCGCTCACAAGCACGCACACACCAGCACACATATGTATAGGATACGTGCACAGAGCGTTTCCAATTAAGCCAATCGAGCTGCAAAAAGCCAAAATGGACGGGAAAAGCTTGTGGATGGGGAAAAGGGAAGGGTGCGTAATTAAAATTTAATTTGCGCCCAAAATTAGACTATGAAATTTCAATAGGGCGCTCTGGATGTTCGCGAGTGAAAGGCCAAATATTGTAACGCCAAAAAAACAAAATGGTAACAAAGTAAATTAGTTAAATTTTGCAACGAAAATCCCTTTGATTAAACGCAGCCAAGTGGATGAGATGTAGCTGTGAAATGAGGAGCTCAAAGACAGAATCTACACGGATAAAATAATATTCATGCTCAGTTGCATTTAGTTAATGAATCTTTGGTTCTTTGCTGAAAGGATTATAAGGGGTGTAATATTCTTAAATATTTGGCAGCTACAGAGTGTTTTTTAGTTAATGAATACTTTTAAGTCTTGACTAAGTATTTATATCAGGCCGAAAATGAGAAAATATTTGTACGAATATAAACAATTACTAAATTTAAATATAATATTTAGTTTAATCCTCTTATTATTTTTAAATCATTCTTGAGATTATACCTCTAACAATTTCTAAGGGTACCTTAATTCAAATTAATTATTTACTTAAATATTTGCTGCCACAAATTAATGAGCTGTTTGAATACGATTACCAACAATAAAGCTTATATATTACTTGCACAGGTTTTTCCCGCTGTTTTGTTTTGTAATATATGCAACTTTTTCCTCTGTGTACTCAAAGTTTAAATAAATAACCAAGTGGCTGCTAAGCAGCCAAGATACAAGACAAACATGGCGACACATTCGCTTGTGCGTCCCCCTTGTTCTACATTCTCTTGGCAATCTGCGCGCATAAATTTTGAAAACGAAGTGTTTGTATTAAGCTGGGAGTTGTGCTTGCGGTGAGCTCGAGAGACCGTGACCTCGCCTGGCCGCAGTGGCTGGAAGTGCACCACCACCCACTCCAACTCCACCTGCTGGCCAATTTATTTATTCGCATTTAAAACTGATTTATGTGAGGGGGCGAAAGCGACAGCTTCCCGCCCCTTTTTGGCCAGCAACCACGTGAGTTGCGTCTTTAATTTAGCTGCCAACGAAATCCCTCCTCCAGATTTCGCCACAAATGCATTTTCAATTGAATTTTCACTTGCTCCAGGAGCTCTACTTTCTCGTGAGCTGCCAACGATTTATGTGCCGTGTTGTGGCATTTCGTACCAACGAACTTCCACCGCTTAAAGTCGGACTTAACTTAAATCTGTTTTGGCACAATAAAAATATCCGCACACTCCGCTAGGCCTTTTTTGCACGGATGCCAGGCAACAAGGCAACTAGGTAACCAGGCCAAAAGAAGCCCTACATGGTGCACACTCTGGCAAAATCTGTTATCGCATTAACAATTTCCTACTAATTTCAACGCACAGCCAGGGTCTTTTCGTTGTTGAGAGGGGGAAATCCTGTAGATATAATTAAATTTCGTGCCAAACTAACCACCAGTTTGGGGAGTAAGTATGGCTGAAAAAGACTAGATTTAATGCCCTTTCTAAGGGAATTAATATTATTATTAATAATAGATTAATGCTATTTAATCATTTATTTTTATTAAATAAAAAAAAAACTTAAATAAAATGTATATAGTAATGTTATATTGTAACTACAAGCTAAATTACCAATTAAATATACTGCTTTAGGAAGAGTATGACACGAGAGGATAATAATTTCATTAGAAAACATTTCCTGGCCCAGCAACAAAAATCAGGAACAGAAACCTTAATATTTCCCACTTGTATTTAAGTAATTATGCTGGAAAAAAGTCCCCAAGCGGAAAAGCATAACTGATGCACGTTCGTGTGCGCTTGTCAGCAGGGGGCTTAAATATTTGCCTTGTCATTTATTCACAAAAAGCTTCATTATACATAAACATGTTATTTATATAGCCATCGGCAATTCACAAAGCGAACTAAGCTGCTTGCCGGCCAGACACTTGGAGAAAGGGTGGGGGCAAGTTGGAATTGACAGGACATTGTGGGCACGCAACAGTGCAGAAGACGGGAGGGGAGGTAAGGACTCGACTTAAGTCCTTGCACATCAACTCAATTGATGACCCTTTGGCAGTTTAACTGCCTCAACCTCGCTTAATGTGCACTCCATCAACATAAATCACTCATACGTCACGTTAAACACGCTCAAACTTCAAATGACGTGTATTTAAACGGGGAGTGGAGGGGGCGGGCACTTGGCCATGGCCATAAATTAATTAAGCCTGCCCGCTGCTCTCTCGAAGGTCCAAGTTCGCGGCCCCTCCCCCTTAAGCTGCAATTAAACTGTAAAAGCGAAAAGCGAACCGACGGCCGGCGTTGGCGGCAACAGCAAATTACAACCATTTACAATTAATTTGAACAACACGCTGCCATGCAAATGGCGTGCCATGGCTCATAACTTCCAATGGCTACCGAAACCCACACGCCGACGCACTCTTTGAGCCATTAAAAAAGGACCAAGCCAAGACCAACGTGCAAATACTCAATTAGCATATCAATAAATCAAGAAAAAGAGTGTTGGCCGATGCCACGCCCCTTTGCCCTTTCCTGGGGTAATCAAAATTTAGTTAACAACGCCAAACAATTTATTTACTCACAGCGGGCCAAGGGGTTTGACCTTGAGGCTGGCAACGTGACGTATACGTAATCTGATGGCGTGCCAACCCAATTAATCAAGATGTCTCGAGGCTTGGCCGTATTGGATTGCACTTTTGCCAGCATAGGCATTAATGGCTTATAACGTCGCGGAGGTGAGAGTATTTTTTGATTACACGTTTCCGTTAAATAATTCGTTTCACTCTGGTCAATTAAACATATTTTAATTAGTCAATATTGCTCTACACATTTGAAACAAACTGGGTTGGAGCAGCATTCGGTTTAGAATGTCTAATCGGTTGCAGGTCTTCTTAATTTTTGTGAGTAGAGAAACTGACTATGGAGATTTCAATGATTAAAATATAAATAATGATTTTAAATAATAGCCATTGATAAACTGTGAAATGAAGTGCAAAATGCATAGGAAAAAGGCAGCAGTATGTAAGCCTTGAGCTTTGAGATCAATTATATAACTTATAAATATTCTATCAGGATTTATCGATCAGATGCTGTCAGTTGACACGCCCCAGTTTGGACAAAGGCAATGTCGAGTGCAGAAAAAGCCTTAACTTGCCGACCCACCGAAAATTCAACTTTGCCGAACTCTATACGATTAATATGGTGAGCAGGTAAATTGAATTAGGCCCAGATAAATCAATCTCGCATCGCAACAGTGCATTGAGGAGTGCAACTATATAAGCTCCGGCTATATTGAAATCGATCCACCCTATCGACTGGATTTGGCCAACGTTCGCATCAATCTGAAGACCATTGCACCGCAGCCTCAATTGGAATCGATTCCATTCCTGGTGGATGCCTATAACAAGTGCGAGCTTTTCCGATCGCTGCACGGCGGACGTTTCACTCTCCACCTGCCGGATATTGAGTTCATCAAGGAGTCCTGCAATCCTTTCGCTTTACAGCTCACTATATGCATACGCATTCATGCCATGCAAAAGTGTCCCAGCCAATTTTTCGTGGACAGCGAGGAGTGTCGATTGGCCAGGGAATACTTTAGCCAGTGCGTTGGCGACATTGAAGCCAATCTCGCCTAGGAATCAACCCGAAATCTGCAAAATTTCATACTGTGTCCTTTTGAAAACTTAAATTGGGCGCCTGCTTAAAAGTGTTGAAAAATAAAAGAAAAAGTCATAAAAGTCATAGATGAAATATGGCAATTTGACTGTCGTGTGTGTGTGGGTGACTCTGCTCTTGGCTCCAGTGTCACAACTGCAAATTGAATCGCACACTCGCACACTCACATTCACACACACACATACAGACCTGCGGGTATGTCAATGTCCTCTGCTGACTTTGCATAACTTCGTCTGCTGCTGTCGGAGCTCCAGATCCTCCAACTTCCTTCCTCTTCCACTATTTAAACTTGTTAGTTTTTTGACACTTTTTTTTTAACACATGCACATTGCATGCAATATACTCAAGGGTATGCTCAGTTTGAAAAGCACTTGGATGTATTATTATTAAGAAGACTTTTAAACAGATTTTAAGACGATGTAACCTTTTAACTATTTTGAAATCTAAGATATCACATTGCCTATGTCAAGCTGAACTGAATTCCATAAAAAAAACACGAAAGGAATCTTATTTGAGCTAGATGAGTAGTGAAGAATTTATGCCAACCAATTGTATATAAATTGTGAAAAGGTAACACACTTTTTTGGTTATTGCAGTCAGTAAAAAATGTATGCCTACCTAATTTTTCACAATGATATATTAGTTCTCAAAAGGCAAGATGCAAGATCGATATCTTCACAAGATTCACAAGCCAACAAGTTGAATAATAAATGAAAGCTATTAGCTGACTTGGTAAAATACAATGTGTTTTATATTTTAATATATTTGTAAATAGCATTGTAAAAATCCCCAAGAATTATTTCTTAAAAATAAAAAATTTTATAAAGTAATTAATTAATTTATCATTTTAGCTATAATTTAAGCTAGGTAAATTCCATTCGATCATTTCATGGGTTTGAAACTCTCTAGCCAAGTCAGCAGCAAAAGTTGCCGTTATATATAGCACGTCTGTCGGTCTGTCTTCGGGTGGTTTCACTGTGTTAGTTTTTTTTTGTCGGTGTCGCAGGACATGTTATGCAACTGGAATAAAGGAGCAGAATTTATGTGCCAGCTGGAGGACTGTGCCAGCAACCTCTCTGCAGCGCCCTCTCCTTGCCAATGTTTCTGGCTTTGCAGCGTCAGGTTAAACGGGATTTATGTCCTTCAAGACATGCAGTCTCAGCCTGTTTTCTTAAAACAATTAACGTATTACGGCCTTCTGCCCTTAACCCCTCCTTGCTGCTTCCCTCCTTGCTGGCAAATCCATCTTTGCTCCGTGTTTGTTCCTCTGGCAGGCAGTGGGTCCTTTGGTCCTGATTTACATTTCCAGCCCAGAGAGAAGAAGAAGTGGCAACTGGAGGCCCCGGGCCTACAATCAAAGGACTTTGGGTTGGCTTGGCATTTTTCTTTAATTACGCCCTCGAGTCAAATTAAAAGCAAATGATAGTTGTCTCCTTTTTCTGCTGCATCCTTTTCCCGACTTTGCTCAACGGGATTTTGCAGTTTACTTAGTCAAATCAAAGCTTTCAAGAAAATTGTTTTCCTTTCTTTCTGCCGGTCTGCTGGTCAAACCGCTGACCAAGGACCCAGTCCTGGACAGCGCTGAAACTCACACATTCATAGCTCCTTATTAGATCTGGACTGCTTTGTTAGCTGCATGTCCTTGAGTGCACTTGAGTCGATGCCTTCGACTCCGAGGTTTTTGTGGCAAATAATTTGTGTAATTAAGGGGCCAGCAACTGCCCCGCACCCAGTTAATTGCTTATTTGTGTAGCTAATTAGTTGGGTATGGCCAGCAAATAGCAGGGCGAGATGGTGGGGAAACTCAATGAGATGATGATGCTGTCGAGAGAGTGGCTCAGCCCACCTCATACTCCAGTTTTTCCATTTTCCATTTCGAACAGGCGTTGTCTAGCACTCGTAATTAAAAAAAAAAGAGCCATAAAAGCGACGGGCGAACACAAAAGTGAGGCACGTGTGTCCCTCATCCCCGGGATGGTGACGATGATGATGTCCTTACCCCCCTCTTCCCTGCCAGACTGCATAATTCAGGATACTGCACCACCGCACCACTGCACCACCGCACCACTGCACCACCAAGCATAACAAGCTGGCGGGGCTGGCGGCGTGCAATCAAAATTATTATAATTGCGACGCGTTCGCCTTTGTGCGACAACAATGACTTCCGCTTCCGTGCTGAAATTCGCCTGTGTCTGCAGCTGCTTGTCATTCCATGTACCCACTGCATTGTTTTTCAATGGGAATCGCACAACGAGTGGGTGGAAGTGGTGGTGGTGATGGAGCAGCAGCGCATTAAGTGCCTGCAAAAGATGGGCAACAAAGTGAACAGCCCAGGGGAGCAAAACGCAGGGGTTGGCTGAAAGATGGATACAACGTGCTCAAGTCCGGCCCAAATGCAAAGCGCAGCGAGTTTTCCGGATGCGACACATTTTATGCAACCAGTTAGTGCAACTACAAGAGGGTACTCACGAAATGACCTGTCCTAAACTGTTGCTTCTGAATCTAATCAATCAAGGCTGGCATTCAGTCACTCAATCAGCAGCCAAGTCAAGCATCGACCCCTAATTCAAATAATTCAATTTGCGCTTGAATTAATTGTATTGATATTATGACGACTCTGATTATCCACATTACAACTTTGGCAGACCGAATTCCAGCCCCGGCCAAGGCACATTCTCCACCCAAATGTGGTTGGTGGCCAATCAATGAAAGTGCCAGACACACGCAACGTTCAATTTAATCAGTTTAATTAATAAGCAACAAGGGTTGAACTGAGCTGAGTTGCCCCGGAAATTGAGTGTCATTGTTTGTCATGGGCATAAATAGCAGCTCTGATTGCCAATGCAACGTGGCTTATGTGGCCAGTTAGTAACTCTGAGTCTTGCCCCTTTAAATGACTTATTTATGGCACTCGAACAGGTCACGAATGAACTTCATTTGTCTGGCTCTGGCTCTGGCTGATTTATCTAAATGAATTGTTACTGCCGCGTATTAGTCACAATTTCGATGGGCTGTTCTATCAGCCATTCGGGATCCCTTGCCTTCGGACCTGTCCATTTCGCTTTTCGCTCCTAATTGCCTCGCATGCGACAGGTAAAGCCTGCCGCGGAAAACCCCTTTTTGCATATTTAGTGAGCTGTGGGGGACTTAGCCTTGTGCCGGAAAATATTCCGCTTTTGGGACCCTTTGTTTGCGGATTTAAAATACAATCCTTAGTTTCGTGATCGATGGCCATAGACATTAATGGTGCTAAGTGGGGCCATAAAAGCAAATGAAACTTTGCGGCGACTGCAGTTGAAGGCGGTCCTAGTTATTATATAAAAATTACATACATAAACTCGAGTGGCCACTTGACTGCCATATGAATTCGCACAACACACACACCCACATACACACAGCGTTCAAGTGGGGCTCTCAGACACAAATATTACAATGGCAGCGAGTACAATACACTAAATCAACGACTCGGGCAAACTCAGCAGCCCGTCGGCCTGCTACAAATAAATGCATAAACTTCGAGTGTCAAACAACAAGGAAAGTGTGGAAAAAGCGGCAAAAGTGGCAAGGGTAAGCAGGTTGAACCGTTCCAGGCCATTTCGCTCGACAGTCAATGAGCTATGAAAATATGAAAAATGTAAGCGACAAAACGTGTCATTCATTGTCTATCCAAAAATATGCCGTTTGAAGAGGGATTCTGGAATCGGGCTATTTTGTCTGTTTACAAATCACTTTCCATGTGCAGTTGACTGGTCAACTGGCACTTGACAGGCGTTACGCATACGCCACGTGGTCCGATAGGAACCTACTATATACACCATAGATGTTAGAAATGTTTGCAAACTCATGAAATAATACAAGCACGCATCGATTTAACCTTTACAAGGCGTGGCCCATCCAAAAAGGGAGTCACAAAGTCTGGCAAAGAGCAGAAATCTGTTGAATATCAAATAACAATCACTTGGCAAGCTAAATATATCATTATGCCTAAGTAGGCGGTCGGTTGAAGAGGCGGGGCGGCAGCAGTTTTGTGGCAGCTACAAAAAGCTTAGCACATGCGAACATGCGAGGCAAAGAAATGGGATCTAACTGGGTTTGGGAAGTGTGGGGATTTGTTTGTGCCTTTCCTCTTCCTTTTTTTTTATTTTCAGGGGTGGCTGTTTGTCGGGGCTATCCTTTTTCGCATCCTGTGGCTGCCTGCCTTCCTCGCTACTTTTTATAATCCTCACAGCTTGAATGTTTGCTTAGCACCGATGGGTCGATGATGCGGAACAGGTTTACAAAGTTTAAGCCCGAGAATCCTGTTGTGACGGTTCCTTCGGGGGACTCCACTCGTTTGTTGGCTTTTTTATGTAATACATTTGGAAAAATTTACAAATCATCTTGCATATTTGATTTGCATACGAGATTTTTCATCGCCACTGCCAATACCGTTGCCGGGATATCCTCCCGGGTGTTTGTGTGGGTGTCCTTGAGCTCGTTTGTATGTCGCCGAATTGCACAAGAGATTCACAAATTGCTTTCATTGATTGCCGACAAAGGCGGAGTGAGTGAGGTGAATGGGGACTTTGTGTGGCACCTTCGGTGGGTGAGAGTGGATGTTGGGAAAGTGTGTGTGAATGGTAGCTCGAAGCGCTTTGACTGCCGGTGGGAATTTCTCTTAAATTTCCGTCAGCTTCTTCTTGTGCTCCGGCAAAGTTAAACTGCCGGGGAGAAAAATCCCTGGGACACGTTGCGTATGAGTAATGCTGCTGTGGGCCGGCAGATGTAGAGCCCAAACAGCATTTTATAACTGACCAGATGCTAAGAGCCGGTCCGCGAGCAGTTGACCCACTTGATTTCCTACCGCTTCATACACTTATCAAAAAATGCTCAACAAAGTTTTATTTTTATTTAAGCAATTTATTCGTATTGAAAAAATTTACCAAATTTTAAGCATTTCAGGCATTGTATTTTGAAAAACCAAAATTATGATTTTAAGTAAAAATATATATATAAATCGAATTTCCCAAATTTGTCTTAATTTTAGTTTGAGTGTAGTTCCCCTGGCCATTTGTCGTTTGTTGCGTGCCGTGGACGTCTACGTGAAATTATTACGCTGCAATGCATCATCAAAAGTAAACAGCAGCAGCAAAAGCAAAAGCAGCTTGGCACTAGACAGCTTGAGGGATGTGGAGGTGGGTGGGGTGGGGTTGGGGTTGAGGATGGGCATGGGAATGGGATGGCGGGACAAGGGTGGTACCCCTAAATGTGCGTCTGACATATTGGAGAGCGGCAAGAGCCGGAAAAGTGGAAACTGGACGATGGGCGATTGGGAGAAACTATAAATTCAGACCAGAGCACGCAGCGTAATACAGAAAGTGAAAAAAATCCCGAAAAGTACTTTAAACGGGCGTTTATTTAAAAATTAACCAACTCAAAGCCAACGGAACTAATGAAAATTTAGTGTAACTACCCTGTAGTAATTATTTAATATTCTGACTACCATAAAATAACAAAGGTTAAATTAAAGAGTTGGTTTTCAAGTTCACCATTATCTCCATTATATTGGGATTAAATAAGCGCAACGAAAAATAAGAAAACAATTAAGCCTCGCATGCCGGTATTCTTGTTCCCGGCAACTATACCAAAACTTAATATTTTTTAGTGAAAAAAAATGAAAATATGTATGTATGTTCCAAAGGAATGATTTAAATTATAATTTTTATAAAATCGAACTACACCCAAAAAAAATACGTGCAAAACGGTAAAAAATTAAGCCCGATCGGGGTCGTCGAGTTTTAGAATTTAATGTTCTTTGGCATATTGGCATATTTAAAAAAAATTGCCAATTTAGCAGTTTTCCAGTATTGGAGGGCATCTCTTGAAGGCATCAGCAGTTGGCGAGGCACAGGATGGTGCACATGCCACTAAAATAATTGTATATCCCTGCTGGCTGTGCACAGGCACGCAAGCCCCTTAAAACATGGAAAGAGAGAGACAGAGAGAGAGAGAGGTAGACAAACGAGAACAGGCTAAACAACAACGCCACTTCACGGCACGAGCCGTGCTGCAGGAGGCGAAACAATCCCATAAGCAGCACTCAGCGGCACGCACTTGAAGTCCTGAATCCTAGGATCCCGGGATCCAGGGACCTGGACAAGTGGGCCAGCCCGGGCAGCTAAAACTGCAATCGCAGCTGGCTCCGGAACCCGGATCCTTGTCTATTTGCCTTGAGTGAAGGAGAGGACGGCGGTGAAGGAGGAGGACACTTCGCAGCTGGGGCAGCAGCACTTTTCCTTTACGGAAAAGCCTCTGCTGAGGCTCGAATTTCGTTGCTACTGCTTATTTATTTTTAATATTTTTATTTGCCCTGTAAATAGGCTGCGGCGGTTTCGGCTCTGCTTTATTTACTTTCGCTGTTATGGGCATCGCTTTTTTTTTTGTTTTCCCGTGGTTTTCCGGCGGGGCAAATCTTTGCATTCCAATGCGTTTCAATTAAGTGGGCCGCCTCCTGTTTGGTCACGCAGAAATTAAGCAGCCCAGCTGGAATTCCAGTACCAGCGCTCTAAGTCCAGTCCGCATAAATCAGACCCTAAAAGGCAGTGCTGTATAATTGAAATACAAAGCCAATTTATACAGAACCCTATAAAAGCGGAACCGACTTCACCGGCATAGGGGAAAGACTGAAATAAAGCAGCAAAGTGGCAATCACGCCAATCACGCGTAATAAATCCTTGCGTGAGCGAATGTTTCCATGCACCCATTTGATACATACACTTGTTTGGCATTTGGCAGGCCAAACAGTCGGCGGTAAGGACGGACTAACGGCAGTCACGTGTGGCCGACGCACGCAATAAGACCAAGCAACTTTTTTTACTCCCCGTCTATACCCACAACGCAGGGAAACTCCCCAAACACGCATGAAAAGCACGAGTTGACAGCCAAACAAAAGCCGAAAAGCGGCGGTGGCCCATTGTGGGCGATGACAAACAGCAATTAAAAAGCCAAAAGGCTTCAATTAATCCTTGACCTCTTGATATCGAAGCAAAGCCAAAGTCAAAGCCAAAGCCACGACCTGCTGACCAACAGAACGACTTGCTTACAGAGAGAAAGAACATTCGGGAAAATAAATTTCGCCTTTTTTTGTTTGTTTCAATATTCTTGCCTTTTTTTTATTAGTTGAATATATTTTATGCGGACTAGTCTTAAGTTTCAGAAGTATGTCCTTATTCTAAAACAAATTGGGTGTTTTTTCAAAAAATAATAATTACCAATAGCTTTTTCCAATGTGGTAAAAATGTGAAACTGTTTCTTAGACATCAGATATCTTTATTTTTACGTCTCTACTTCAGTCCTTTAATTATGATTAACAACTGTGATCCTTAACTAAAGCTAAATATGATGGCTGTGGATTAAAAACTCTAAAATAAATCCTTTAAAGTTGAATATCCTACTTTCGGATTTGTGTACCATTTACAAAGAAAATTTTTTTCTTTAATAAGCCTTTTGCTCTTGAATGTTTGTCAGTGGTGCTAAGTGGGGAGAATGTCTCAGCAAGTTCTTACGTACATCGCCCTTATCATTAGGCAACACAAACTTGTGGGCCACGCCTTCCGCAACCCACAGGGCCCACATCCATTATCTTGAGCAAGCAGCGCGTGTAATTTTCAACCTGTAATTGGTGTAATTGAGTGCAAGTGCGGAGAAAATATTCAACATGCCAGCAATTAACATAAATTCTCCGCTACGCGTACAAGAATAAAGTGAAAAAAAGGGAGACGCGGCCAAATGATAATGAAAGAAGCACTAACATACACACACACAAACTCACACACACACACTCTGATGGAGATAAGCAAATGGCCGCCATTCTGTTAAGCGTTCATAATTGCCCACGTTTTCGTTGTGTGTGTGTGTGTGTGGGTGTGTAAGAGAGGCTGTATTGGTGTGAGGGCGTGACAAAATGCAGCCAGCGATTTTATAGAAAGGGTAGCATACTTACATGCGCAGCGGGCGGAAGTAGTTTATGTTGATGACAGAACCGGCATTTATCCTCTTCCATTTTTGCCAGTCGTCCGTTGCCAGTTGCCATTTGCTCACCTCTCATTTCGCATTTCTCCTTGCAGGAATCGAGGGCTTCCAGCGGTTCTCGGAACAGCCCAAATACACGGAGGTGAATCCCGCCGAGGACACCCTGCTCACATGCAAAGTTATCGACAAGCGCGGCACGTGCTCCTGGCAAAAGGATAACAAGGTAATTATATCTGCTCACTGGGCCCATCTATCGATGGCGCCAGTTTATAAACATTTTGATTAAACTCATAACTTGGCCGAAAGTCTCACCGAACACAAACAAGCGAACTTTATTCGCATACCAACACTCTGGCACACCGACGTGTTCTGGCTAGAAAACTCATATCATATGCGTGGCGCGTCCTGCGGTTCAATTAAGTGTTGTTCTTTTGGCCTCCACATGTGGCGAATGTAATTTACACCCTGACCAGGACGAGTCAATAATGAAAGTTGCCCGTGAACGGGGGGAACACGGGGTCAGGGGTCACAGGACCTGCGAACAGGACCCCAAACAGCCCTTCTTTGTTTGGCCGTTGATTAGAACACTGGCCGGCACAACTTTTAATCGAAAGTGCGTGACAGCAGCGGGCTAAGCCCAATTGGATTTCATGCCAGCGCAAACATGAAAATATCGTTTGCCTCTCTCTCCGGTGTAATGTTATTTAGCAGTTGATCCTACAAAACAAAAGAAAAAATTGTTTGGTTTTAATTGATTGGTTTCTGCTGTCAATCGCTGGCCACTTTATATAGCAGCACTTATTTTAGCTTATACTGTGATATATGAAACCGGTCAACTAACAAATGGCCTAGATAAAGAATAAAAATATACCCAAAATTTAACTATCGGTTAAAAAGTATGTGACTACCAAAGAATTTGTTTTATTAAATATTCATCTTAGGAGTTTAAATAATAAACTAAATATAAAGTCCTGAGCTCTAATCCTTATATTTTCGATAAAAACATTTGTTGTTAAATTGAATATGTGTAGCCTGATCAGCTTAAAGTGGCTCTAGTCATGTTTTTTCAAAGTGGGCAGGAATTCTGTTTCTAGTCATGTTTTTTCAAAGTGGGCAGGAATTCTGTTTCAAACCTTTGTTTTGCATACAAAACCAATCCAATGTGAGATAAATCAACAATCTTATCCATATTAGCAGACTCATAGTTGAATGCAACATAGTTATTTTACCCGCCATCTATTGATTTTAGTGTTCAATATAAGTATGACCCTTGCAGTTAGTGGTCATTTGTTATGGCCATTGTGGGCGAGTAGTTGATCTCAGACCTTGAGCGCCTTCGTTTGCATACCAATCCAAAGTGGCCTCATTATGGAAGCGCTCCAGGCGCAGGCGAGCGGGAATGTGTTGGTGGCATTTGTTATTCAGGGCAATTGTGTGCGTTTGAAGCATAACATTTATTTGCCGCCCTCAGTGCCAGTGTCTCAGCTCCCCACTTGTTGTGGTAGTTGCTTATGCAAATGCACACTGGTACCTAAGAGTGATGGGGGGGCGGGTGGATTCGGACCCCCTCGACGCCATTGTATGACAAAAATCAGAAAGCATTTCAAATGTCCTTTTTCATATGCTGCGCATCGCAAACTCTCGCTCTGCATCACATACTTAAATGTTTACATGCTTTGAGTCTCCACTCGAACAAGTTGAAGGAAGCGAACAGCCGAAGGACGAAGGGCGAGGGTAAACAACATTTGCATGCATCGAGCGTCCCACAGACACACAAACAAGCTGATGTTGCTGTTTCGGGCTTCATTTAAAATTCTTCCTATTTTTGCATACTTATTCCACTTTTCTCCTTTTCTCCTATGTGTGCTTAACGTTTCCCAATTTCCTCTTTTTATGTATATATATATATATATATAGTTGTTTTGTCCCTATATTCAATGTGTAGTTATCATAAGAAGTGACATTTGGTTTGTCCCAAGCAAAAAAAAAAAAAAACGGGGAGCGGAGTAAAGCTATGTCCATTCACGAGCTGCATTCTAATTTAGCCAAAGGATGTTTGCGGAAAAATTTTCAATTCTATCCATGCCTCATCTGTGTTTTCTTTGCAGTGCATTTCCTGATAATTCCAAAGCACAAATGGAGAATATTCGAGTACAACCAAGTCCAGCCATTTGAATAAATGTAATTCTTGGGCATCGCACATTTTTATTCCCCTCGACTTTTTTTTGTGCCTGCAGCTTCTATTTTGAAGTTAGAAAATGCAGAGAATTATGCCGATACGAGTATCGATTGGAGAATGTTTTGGCAGCAATAGCTGCATCAATGGGCCACAGCCAAATATTTGTTCGGTTTCGGATTTTTTATCTGCTAGCCGAAATTGTTTTTCGGGCAGCTCGGTCTTCTATTGAGCCCATATCTTTTGTTGCCGCAAAGCCGCCCAAACTTAACTTAACCCTTGTTGACCAGCGACCGCCCATTGATTATTCCCTGTGGCCTGAGGTCAGTGGAATCAAATGGCATAGTATCTCGGACATCGGACATCTGACATTTACTATATGCCAGCCGCAAGCTGTTTAATAAAACAGAGATACTGTATTTTATGCTGGCTGGCCAGACATCTCAAGGTGGCCAGATGCATGTCGCCCTTTATTTTATCGGCTTCGGTCGGACAAACAAAATGCACTTGCCGCAAATTTAAACACTAAATATCAAATGGCAAGGCAACAGAGATTAGATTATGCATTTGCCTTTCCTTTCGTTTTCTTTAAATAAATTTGAATTCTCGTTTCAGCCGATTGTTGTTATTGTCCCTGGTGCAGGAAAATTCAATGTAGCAATTAATTTAACCCATTACGCCACTAGCAACGCAGACAACGCTCAGAGCCGAAATGCAATTAAGCTGCTCTGTTTCCGGGGGTTTTGGGTGCTGGTTCCCATAAATACTTAAATGCGAACGATGCCACGCTCAGAGATCACTAATTGTAATTTAATTTCCAATTAGCAAACAAACTAATGCCAATTTACAGACAGAAGCGACTGGGACGACGGCTGAAAATGGAGTTAAATGACACGTAGTAGTGGGTGGGCAAATGGGTGAGGGGTGGAGTTTTGGGGAGGAATTTCAGGCAAAGACCACCTCCTGTGCTCCTGTGCTCCTGTGCTCCTGTTCTCCTGTCCATCTGCACGCCGATTTGTCTGTGAATGTTTGGGCAAATTGGAGACCAAATTAGACGCCTGACTGCATCGAAAAGTTAAACATGCTAAACATGTCGTAGACAACGCCCAGTTCATTTCAACACCATCGTCGTTTTCTTCCCTATCCATATCATTTCGCCTTTATTTTACACGGAAACAAATGTATGAACACATGCAAAATGGTTGGTAACAATAAAAACAATGTTTTTCACATTAAAATTGTAAACAAATTATTTTCAAAAGTGCATAAAAAAACAATTATTACATATTTGATTATTTAACCCATGTCATAGAAACTTAACTATTCTCACCTGGAAAATTTTTCTCAATAAGATGAGTTTTAAAATAAAACCATGAAAGTATGAAAATAAAACATATTTGGCTTAATAAGAAGGACTTAGATTATAGGTTTAGACTCATTGGATTATAAACGAAACTAAAGAGTATGGGGATGTATTTAGTATTGAATGATACTTAATACTGTCTGTAGTTTATTTTCAATTTAGTCCTTGCTTTTTCCCCGTGTGTAACTAACACAATCCACTTCTTTGCCCCCAGCCCGTTGGCATCTACACGAAGAAGTACGAATGGGCCTCACGTATGCCGACGAGCGACAACGGGAACGTCCTGCATCTGGACCTCCATCCGCCGGCGGTGCAGCTTGGCGGCGACTGCTCCCTGTGGATCCGCTCGGCCACGCTGGACTTCGACGACGGCCTGTGGGAGTGCCAAGTGACGGCCAGTGATTTCACCACCCAGGATGCCCTCACCAGCCAGCCAGTGCGCCTTGTCGTACGTGGTAAGTGGATCGACTCGATTGAAGGGCCATTTCCCACACAGCGCATGCAAAGTGTCCCCCAATTCACCGTAAATGCCCAGGACCTAATTGTTAAGGACACTAATCTTCTGTTTGCAGTGGCGCCGCAGCGGCCGAGGCTCGAATACGAGGCGGTACACGTGCCGCCGGGACACAACATCACCGCAGACGCCGGCGCCCTGGCGACGGTCAAGTGCGTCTCGCATTACGGCAATCCTCCGGCCACCCTCAAATGGTTCTTGGGTATGTGCCGAACCGGCATTCCTCCTCCCGACCACTCCCCACCAAATTTATGTAGCTTTAAGTCTGCAAAATGGGCAATGCACCCAGAGAAAAATGTGGCTCTGTATCCACTATATATATATAAAGGTTCTTATTTAACTTTTAAATTCAAAAATTTGATTTCAAGAATTTAATAAGCAACTAAATGGTATTTTCTGAATTTAATTCTTTGCCCTTATTTGATGTGATACTTGTATATTAAGAGCTATTTAAGAAACATTAAAATCAGTAGAACATATTTAAAAGTAAATATAGTTTTCGTATTAAAATAGTTTTGAAATTAAGAACGCTTCGTTGTGCTTAACTTTATTTGGAAGGCAAAAGAGTATAGTTCCAATTTAAATACAACAAAAAACAACGGAATATATTGTTTAAAATTATTTAACTACGGATGTCTAGACTGCTGTATTCAGAGTTTTTCAAACAGCCCTACAAAAAATCACTTTGTAATGAGTTGTCATAAAAATTAACTTTTCTAATTCGTAGATTAAGATTAAAAAAATATATATACATACATAAAATTATACTTGTTACTGAAACTGAAAATATTGTTCTATAAATGATGATATAATCCCTATGATTATTTGGCTTTTTACATAATAATAATCAATACTTTCTTTGAAGTTTTTAGTACTAATTAATTGTTATTAAATAATTAATATTACATTTTCTCATATTTATTCATGTAGCAGTCCTTATGTTTTAACTTAGTTTCTAAAATTGTTTTGAGTGGGGTGTGGAGCATAATCCCACTGCAGTTGTTATCCAGCGGCAGTTGTTAATGTTAATTAATTCGCATATCCCGCTTACTCCTTCTCTCTCTCTCCCTCCTTTAGGCGACCAGGAGATCTCGGCCATCCACCCGCAAATGAATGCCACCGAGCCGGATAATCCACGCACTTGGTCGGCCACCTCGGTGGTGCAGGTGTCGGCCATGCGGGAGCGCCACGGAGATATCCTGCGGTGCGCCGCCTCCCACGAGTCCTACACGGCCAAATCGGTGGCGGTGGAGGCGCGGCTGGACGTGAAATGTGAGTGTTGCGATAACGATGGGCAAACACTGGCTCTGGCTCTGGCTGTGATGCCACACACCTGCATCCCGAATCGGGGTCACCAAAGAGATTTGGCTTAAAGTGGGACTCCAAGTCCGGGCTAACTGCTAACTAAACACAGATACTGCAGAAACAGCAAAATCCCAATCCGAATCGGAGACAGAGAGCTGTAACAATTAAATTAACAACAATTTGCTGTAATTTCCTGTTTTGCTGAGCAATTCAAGAGTTGACTTGTCCCAGAGGAGCTCGACTTGCCCGGCTTGTTGACTCTGTGTGTTTCTCTAGTCTCTATTGCTGTTTCTGTAGTTTGTATTGCTGTTTTTGTTTTGCCTAACCAAGTTGAACGTCTCCGCTTCTGTTTTCTTGCAGACGCGCCGAGCATCCGTCTAATTGGCTCACCGGAAATCGACTTGGAGGAGGACAAGGATGCCCTGGTGCTGCGCTGCGTGGCCGATGCCAATCCCCCGGCCAGCATCGTCTGGCGGCGGGCCGGACGCTCCGAGATAGCCAGCTTGCAGGTGAGTCAGCCAGCTTCGCCCTTGTTTATGTTGTTCCAAAATTGATTCCCCACGCCGGGTATTTATCTAAAGTGTAGCAGGAATTTGTAATTGTATTAAATTGCCTGCTGATCTCGTTCTCGTCGCTTTCCACCTTTTTGCCCGGCAGGAAACTCTGCAATTGCGTCCCGTCGGACGTCGCGATGCCGGATTGTACACCTGCCAGGCGCAGAACTCGGTGGGCACCTCTGAGCAGCTGTCGGTACAGTTGGATGTGAAATGTACGTATCTCACTATTTACCTTGGACAAAGTTTTCAACGAACTCGGCTTTATTTCAAACCCCCCTTCCCTTCCCTTCCCAGATGCACCCAAAATTATTTCAGCTGGTCCGGATCGACTCACCACCGCCCCGCTATTCAGTCCCGCCGCATTTGAGTGCCTGGCTGATGGTAATCCCCTGCCATCCTTCAAGTGGGTACAGAGGTGAGTCCATCGACACATATATACACTGGGCGCTAAGCTCTTTCGGTTTTAGAAGAGGTTATTTCTAATAATTTCACTGACAAATAGCTATAAATAGGACTTCTAAATTTTGTTAAAAATATGCAACCATTTGTATTGAATTCGGAAGTCCGATAGATTCATTAATAAAGGCCAGGTGTTGCATACCCTTTTAAATAAAGCAAAACGAATTGTTGGTTTCTAAAAAATGTTTGTACTCCCTGAACTTGTTATTAAAGGGTTACCAGCATTTTCCCCCCAAAAAAAAAGGATATAAAATTTATTTTTAATTTTACTGAGAGTTTGCGCTAAGAAGGATAAGGCTTATAAATAAGACTGTTAATTGCTACATTTTCTTCAGATTTTCAAGAGCTAAATCTACTTCTTAAAAAACAGTTTCTTTAAGTGTTGTTGAAATTGTGAAAATATCCCACTTGCGGTAGCCTTCCCTAGAGTTCCTCGGCAGTTTGGGTTTCATACTTTTGATAGCCTCTGCTTGGTTCCGTGAAAAACTTGACTCGTCTTTGCATTAAGTTCTTTGCCCGTTTGTAAACTCCTCTGGTCTCGGAAATGTTCATTGTTATCGGCTGAATAGCAGCTCTAATTAAACTCGACTTATTCAGCGTATGCTAAATATTTTGTCACGCTCTATGCTTTAATTGTGTATGTTTAGCAGCCCCTTCGGTGAGTTTTATTTTTAAGGCAGCTTTTTCTGTAAGAACGGAATTTTCCTCTTACATGAGCAGGTTTCCTGTTGCACATTTCCTTTTTATGCGGCACCACGCCCATTTGCCACAAGAGCTGATGATATTTCGCGTAATTTTAATTAGCTGCTCTTCGGAAATTGTTTGAACCGAGGAAAAACAACACGGAAGAAGGTCTTCTTTTGACATACTACTACTGGAGTACCCTGTAATTTATAATATTTTGAAGTCAGAATGTAAGCCAGAATAAATGTGTTAATTTAATTTCGAATGTACTTACATTTTTACTAATAATACACAAAAATTTTATTGCATTCACTTATTGTATGCTATTTTGGGTCTTAAATTTATACAATTAAATTGTAGACTCCATTGCATATACCCTTTTTGTTGTTAGGGTAGCAAGAAACCATCCATAATACTTGCAGGATTATGCTCCTTCCGTTTCTCTTTTCCTCGTTGATGGCAACGTGCATTAGTATGCAAAGCAGGCAAATTCTGTGGAAAAATCGAAACACTCCTCATGCATATGACTGTGCACAGCTCCCTCTCTCTCTCTCCCTCACTCTCTCTCTCTACCTCCCTGTCTGTCTCTTTCTGGCCCTTAGAGCTCTTTGACGCTGCCACGTAAGTACGTGATTTTTGTGATTCTATTTGTCTGCACTTGCCCCCAGACAATCGGACTAGCATAAAACATACGCAGCTATGCCAGATCGTGATCGGGGGATATATAGGATATGGGATTCGGAATAGTTGTAATGCGAAGGTGTCGCAATCTAATAACGAATGCCACATGCAACACATTGACGTGTTGACTTAATGAACCGAATGCGCGCGTGTTTATCAGAAATTAAATGTCAATTGTTGAAAACTAATTTCCACGCATGTTCTCCAAACACCAGCAACGCCCACTCCGCCGCCCACTCCACCACCCACAGAATTAAATGGCGCGTGCCGTGCTGTACAAACAGCGGGAGTCGCCCATTTGGGGCCATTTGGGGTAATAAATCAATGCCACGGAGTGAGCCGCTGACAGGAAAAGCGACGTATGCTCGGCAGCTCCTTAATCTCCACCTCCCAGGTGCCTTGGCCCAGTGTCCTTGGTGTCCTTTAACTGGGCTGCAAGTGCAACTGAGCTTGGCCGGACGCCTTGCAAATGAGGTACCCAAGGACACGACGCAGGACACGGAGTTCTGTCACTTTGATTTACGTGATTTCTCCACTCTCCACTCTCCACTCTCTACTCTGCCTGGACCTCGATGAGAAGTGGAGAAATGGTATAGAACCCAAACGAAAAAACGCTTGCCAAACTTTTTCGACTTCGGAGATTTGCATTTGAATGGCTTTCTAATTTATTGCTTTTAATTGCTGGCTACCAAGAAACGACTTAAAGATCTCTGCTGTCACTTTAAGCGCCATGGCAATGAATGCATAATATTTGTTGGCCCTCGTTTTTTCCATCTTTTTGCGGCTGCCTCAAAAGAATCTGTGGGCAGACCGATGAGCCAGTAGGGGCCCAGAGCATTTCGCAGCCTGAAAGGCATTTCTCATATTAAAAATGTATCAAATATTTCTTTGAGCCAGCTCGTTGGCCCACTCACTCGTCTGTGAGTCCGGGCAGGCAGCCTGCACCGAAAAATAACTCATACGCATACGCAATTTTCAATATTGCCAAGCAAGGATTGCAGCGCCAGCCACGCAGGACATTTGGAAGAGAGCTGCGGTGCTTCAAAGGGAAAGAGGCGGTTTGGCCTCTGCTGAATGCATCAGTTTCATTTTGCACGACTTAAAGCAGCTCAAAGAGCGTACTGTAAAACATGCACCATGACCAGATGGAATTCCAATATTAGTTGCACATAATCATAATCAATTGCTGCTTCGACTGGGTCACCCCATGTGAATATTGAAGCGTTTTCTTGCTTGCCAGCTTAAGAAAGTCGTAATGTAGTATTATTAATATAATATTTAATCATTAAATATCGATAAAAGAAAAACTAAAAGCTTTATTAAACATAATGATTTATTGCTGAACTTAGGTTTAATTTATTTCGCCGCACATACATATAAACAAAGAAGATATCCCTTAACTGATAATAATAAAAGTAAAAAATGTTCGTTTGTCTTAGTAAAAATAGAATTAACTTAATTATAGTGGTATATAACAAAGCATTAAACATCCACTTACAAATTTAGTTACAAAATGGTTTTGCCTATACATTTGCGGTCTTTTTTAAATAACGCTAAATAAAAAAAAGCAACTATAATAATAAGTAGGTATTTTTGCTAATTGTTTTTATTAATTTATCTCTACATATATTTAAGAAAACATCATGATGATGATCAGTGAGCGTTGCTCCCTTAATAAACATATGGGTTTTAAGCAGCGGCAAGAAGGAAAAAAGAGCTTTGAAATTACAAAAAGAAACAATTTGTGGAAGATTTTAGATCGTCTATCCATAAATAAATTTAAGTCATTTTATAACAGGCCATGACAACTTAAATTTTTTTTCAATTAATTACCTAGCATATTACTTGATTTAATGAACTATTTCTTTATTTGATCTGTATCTTGTTTCGTAAACACTTGACTGCATTTTCTGATTTTCTCAATTTACCTTGCAGAATGGCCCATGGATCGAAGTACGTGGAGCGGGGCTCCGAGTCCAGATTGGTCATCGACAACGTCACCTACGAGTACCAGGGCGAGTACGAGTGCCGGGCGACCAGCTACATCAATGGCCAGGAGCGGGTGGCCATATCCGATCCGGTGTCGCTGCAGGTTGTGGGTAAGTTCCTATCTGCAGAGCTTGCTACTGCTGCTGCTGCTTCTGTGTTTGTGGTGCGCCCATAAAAACCGCAAGCCACAAAATATGACGACAACAGGGCATGGCTCGAAACATGCATTCTTTTACACCTGACATTTGGAACGGCACTGCCGCAAGGATTTGCCATCGGACTCACCGGAAAGAGTATCACGGGCTAAAGAACGAACCATGTTTGCGGTCATAAATCTGCATTCCAGCCCAGCTCTCGTTTGTTTTTTTTCGATGTCAATTTTAGCCCCGACTGGGGAATGGAAAAAAGCGTCATGGAGATGACCAGCATAGCCGCAGAGAAGGTGACAACGCAAGCGGACAAAAAAAGAAACCTATTCCTCCTCGGGCTACTCATTTAAATCCTCCGCTCCCGTGCAACTAATGCACACTTAAAACAACTAACAAAACTCCATTAAAAGCTGCAGCCGGAAAGCGCCTGCAAAACATTTTAAGCGCTTGCGTTGCCACTGCTCCTCGTCGCTTTCCGCTCTCCACTTTCTACTTTCCCCTAAATTTTCCTCCATGGCCATGGCCATACAATTTCGCGGTGGCTGGCAACTTGCAACTGGCCAACGGACTAAACCAAAACGTAACACAAAATCAAAATGAACTTATGACCGCAGAGCCAGCGGAAAAAAAATGGAGCTGCAACTGCCGGGGGCAAAAAACTGTACAGCAAACTGAAAGGGGGAAAAAATAGAAAAAACTCTAGAAAAAAGAGCAGCAAGAAATATTTAAATTTAGTGCTGAATACCACAGAACGTACATAATTTATGACCAACCAAGGACACGAGCAATTTAGCAGAGCCGGGGACCAAAAAAAATGCACAAAAATAAACATGCACACGAACAATATACATTACACACACAAAAAAGTCCCCACCACTTTTATACATATCTACGTGTATGTTTGTGAGTGTCGAGCAACTAACAAAATAACTAACCAACTGCGACAGTATGCCAGAGTGTCAAAAAAAAGGAAAAGTTACCGTTTCTCATTATTCGACAAAAATAAATGTATTTATTCTTGATTAAAAAGATACAGCAACGTAAAACTCATTAAAATCACAAATAATCAACCATTAGTTTGACAAAAAAATTTGTAGATTGTTAAAAGCAAATATCAATTAATTTTAAAGGAAATACCATCTAACAAATTTAAATTGTTTTAAGTATTTTACAAAACGGTTTTTGTTGGATTGAAATGCTACTGAAACAATGTTAATCAATACAATGAAATGTACATATTTGGCTTAAATGGATGTATTTATCTATTTAAATAGATACAAATTACAATTTACAAAATACATGTAGATCAGAAAAAACAAGAAATTTAAAGCATAAGAGAAGTAAAAGGATTTTTGTCTGTCAAAATAAAATTTCTTTGAGTATTTTTCAAACATTTTTTTGTTTGATTGAAATCGTATAAAAATTTTTTAGTCAATAGGGTGAAATGTATATTTCGGTCTCTAAATAATTTTAAATGATTCTGAGTCTGACTGCCGCGGCTTAAAAAAAGAAAGTTTTCTTTTAAATGTTACTTAGCCTGACTGCCTGTCCAAGATCCTTTCACCCCTAAAGCAATTGACTTGGACCAAGCGGAGACACCCTGTACCTGCACCCTGTAACCACTCTATATAATTATCTTTGGCAGTATGGCTTGGCGAATGCGTTGCACCGCACCAACTCAATTAAAAAGCCATCTGGCCGTGTGGACTGGACGCGCCTCCTTTATGCATCTTTCACCTCTTTTTACTTGTGTCCTTGCAGGTGCTCCGCAGGTGCTGCGCCTGCACCCCTCCCTGCACACCGTGGCCGTGAAGCGAGGAGAGGCGGCCAGCCTGACAATGGTCGTCTGTGCGGATCCGCGGCCACAACGCGTCGCTTGGGAATGGGGCTCGCTTCGTCTGGAGGCCGGCTCGGGCATCGGTGCGTATACTTGTTTGATGGGCACCCATCCGCCCCATTGGCCCGCTAATGGTAATGCAATTAGGCGCTGGTCTTAGTTTTGCCTACTCGGAACGGAATTCTATTAGCGCCGCTCTACAGGATGCCGAACGCTGGCTCTGCCCGCTCGGGGGTTCATTAGATTAACCATTCCCAGACACAAAAACGTTCGCGAGTCGCGTCGGGTTGTTCCGCAAATCAAGACAAATTACATGACCAAACGGAGTCAGAGTCGGACAAGAAACAGCCAGTTTCATGTTGGCCGCTGGAAAAGGGCTGGTAATGGGAATGGGAATGGGGTCGAGGAAGAGAGGATGCCTCGAGCAGACTTCCCACGCCTGTCAGTCGCCGGTAATCCGAGCTCCAACAGACAGGCAACACACAGGCACACCACACCTCATTTTCCAGCTGAAACTATATTCGGATGAACATCCGCCAGCAGATGCAGCTGCATCGCTCCATCTTGGCCATTTCCTCATTTTCCATGAACTTGAACTGCATCCCCGACTGCCAGTGTTGCCTATTCCTGGCCAATATTGACTGTCAGCATTAAATTTATCTGAAAATTGGTAGATTAAATTACAAATGCTAAGTCAAGAGCTTGAAGCAATTTTTTTTAGGAACTATTTAATAAATCAAATAAATAATTCTTTAAAAATTCGAAGAAAAATGTTTTGGTATGAACAAATACATTTTATGTTAAGGAGGCTCCACATATTAAAAAACCTTATAAAATGTTTCCTGATTGATTTTACCATTTAAAGGTATATTACCTTGTCAACAATTTTAGTTACTTAGCTTAGGAAAATTATATTACAATTTATCAACAACTTCGATCACAATTGAATATCTAAACTAAAAAATATATATACTTATGAACTGTGTAGTTAAGACACTTACGTCCAAAACGATAAACTTAATTTGTGAAAAGGCTGTCCCAAAAATAGCTAAGTTGGCAACACTGATGCTTGGTCCGTGGGTCGCATTATTCTTCATTTTCAGCTTGTCCGTCCGTGTCCATCCTTGGTCGTCCTTCGTGCGTGTAATCCTGCGTGCTCTCCTTGCCACTGACACAAATCAAACGGCGCGCATTACCGACCAATCCTTTCGCCTTTCCTCCGCACCCAACGCTAGTTAGCCCATCGAATCGAATGATTAATGTCGGATGCCGACAAATTGTGTGCAATTCTAGTGCAATTACTTAGCCAACGAAAGTCAATTCGCAGAAACAAGAACTCACTTTTATTTTTTTGTTTTGGAAACCCCCCACAGATCGTTTCCGGGCAGACGACATGCAGCCGGACACCCGCGAGGATTGCTACCTGTCCACGTTGCACATCCTCCACACGGACGAGCACGACTCCAGGCCCTACTACTTGGTGGTGGAGAACGAGCGGGGCACCGATCGTCATGCCATACACCTGATTGTGGAGGGTACGTTTGCAGGTGCTTAGACTTTTCTTAATTTTCTTTACCCCAACCCACATTATCCCAATGCACCCTTAAGTTACAATCTCGACAAACATTCCACATTCACGCACCATACAAACATTATTATCACTATTTGGGTAGACTAAAGAAGCAAGTTTTGTTGACTACTGTTTTATTTTTTAGTTTACTCTCTAAAGTCTGTCTATCAAAATAAGAGGCTACAACATAAAACTTTTTGGAATATAGTTTAATAAAATATCAAACTCAATTGTACCACCATTTATGTGGTTATGATATTGATAACCATTATTTATAGACAACTGTTTTAAATGTTGATTATTTTCGAAAAATTATACATCAAACTCTGAAACTCTTTTTAACGCAGTTTAAATATAAAAATCTATTGAACAAATTTTCAGTAATTTGTGCAAACATTATTGGGTTTATATAAACTCATATTTATAATTCATTTAAATGGAATTATTCATACAAAAAATAGAATAAATATTGTTTGTATTTATGTATATGTCAAATTTGGTTTGTGTAACAAACTATTTAAAGTCTAAATAGGCCATTATTGCAATATATAAGCCAAACTTAAATACAGATAGAAATGAACATATTAATAAGTATTTTTAAAGCGAAATAGTCAAGAGAACGCTCGCACATTAAGCATAACCAAATCCCTTGCATTGCAGCCCAATGCTTTTAATTAAAATCATTACGACGTGCAATACATGTATTGCATAAAGTACCTTGTGCAAATGAAAATGAAAATTCCTCTTAATGCTTGCATAATCAACACCACCACCACCACCACCTTTACATCGAATACCAATCCGTGTATCGAATCGTATGGAATTTCCGGACAGAACCCTACGAGATGAGCTATCTGATGGGCGTGGCCGGGGGCTGCATGGCTGCCATCCTTTTGCTGGTCTGCCTGTGTATCTATGCGATCAAGAGCAAGAGATGCTGCTTCAAGGGTAAGTAAAAATGGGGGGTTCTATGGTATATTTCAACCGAAATCCTAACCATCATTGGACCCGTATTAATTGCACTGGCAGTGCCGTCAAGGCCGCGACAATTAAAACTTCCTCCTTGATTATGCCACCCCCTTTCCAACAAAAAACCCCCTAGAGGCTGCTGTCACACTAATTGCAAAAACACAAAAACTTGCCAGCTCACAAAGCACTGGCAACTGAAATGCGAGAAGGAGGCGGTCATGGCGGAAAAAATGGCTGCCAGGATGGATGCGTCTCTTTTTCGCTTTGTGTGTGTGTTGTGTCGGCTCTGTTTTTTCTTATTTTTTCTTTTTTTGTTTGCCCTGCTATTCTCCTTGAAACTCGAAACTCAAATAAATCTCATAAAATATTCATTAGCGTCCAACGCCTGCGGTCAGTCTCCGTTTCCTGTTGCCCCACCAACCAGCCAGGCCCCCGCTTACACAAAAGGGTTAAGGGTTTCGTGGCAGCTTTTTGTTTTAGCTGCGCCAACATTTTCATCTCTCCGACTTTGAGGAAAAAAAAAACAGTGCTTTCGCGCGCACAGCCTAATTAGAAATCAAAACGCAGACAAAAAGCGGTGAAACTTTTTACTATTGTAAAACAATTTGCAAAAGAGCAAGGGAAACTTTGCCATTGCTGAAGGACATTTGAGCCATTCCAGCACACATCTGTAAGCACTTTTCAAGCTGAGCCACCTAATCGCAATTTCTCAGTTGTCAATCAAGCTGTCAATTTGACTGGCTGACTGGCTGACTGACTGCTGCAGCTGCCTTCCCGAGTTGTCAAATAGCGTTTGACAGATCTCTCAAGTGCGACCCGATACTATAGCATATATATCTCCCGAGCTGGGAAGCCTTCACCCCTTCGACGATATCCATCAAAATTTGCAAACACCTCTACGGGAGTTTACACGTTCCTCGCAATCAATAAGTCCTTGGCTCGTTTATCACGGCTCCGAGGGCGAATTGGAAAAAAAAATACCATCTAGCTGTCTGTTTGTAAATTGCCAGCGGTATTTTCACAGCTAATTTGTACTATTTTGCAACCACACCCTTCAGAGAATAATGGGGGGAATTTATATTCCTGAATATTGCATACTCTAATATGAAACTTCCCCTTTCTCTTTTTCGTTTCACTTCTCGCATGGCACAGGTTCCACGGGCTATAAATCATCGGATAAAGACAGGTAAGTTGAAGCGTAATACGTACACACCCTTTTCCTTCCCACACACTCCCGTACTCACACTCTCACACGCATACACAGAGAGAGAAAGAAAGAACCATAGATAAATGACCATTTTGATATATTTTTATGCAGCCGCATCCTGCAGCCAACAGGTGGCGCTGGCGTGCCAATTTATGCGCTCCTACTGGCCGAATACAGGAACTGACTCACTCATACAAACACACATAACACACACGTACAGAATTGGAACAATGAAAAATGTGTTCGCCGGTGTGTGTGTGTGTGTGTGTGGGGGGGACATAAAATATTATACATTTTTCATTTATTCAATATATGCACCGGCGAACGAGCACTTTTGTTTGGCCAAGAAAAAGCTGAAATACCCTTTTTAAAAGTTCGAAAAAAGTAAATCATGTTTGCAACGGATTAGCTAATGGAAAATAATATTTATAAGGGATCAATGGAATAAAATTGTAGAATTCATGACCGAATTCTAGAGTTTAGAGAGCAGAGTTTTTCATTTCCAAATTTTGTTTTATTAAGATCAATACTAAGCTTTAGAATGGCTGAGTGAAGAAGTATTAAAAATTAAAGACTTGGTGTTTTTCATCCATCTTTACTTTCAAAATAACATAAAACCAATAACATTCATTAGCACATTTCCATTTCCATTTTAAGTTTAAAGTGTATATGAATAATTTTTTATTTTCCAATAGCAGGAAATCGGGGTACAACCTATCGCTCATTGTTGTTGCAAACTCTCACCGAGAATTATGAGTTATGGGCGGTCGTTTGGCCATACGCCCCTCTCCAACCTTTTGTTTTCCTTGTTTAGGAGCTTAAAACTGCTATATTTTGTTTGCCAAACTATGCACAGACCAGTTCAGAGCCTCAATGTATGGATATATATGGAAAAGGGAACGGAAATGGATTTAGAATTTCCGCTTCAAGAACATTCTGCACACATTTCCAAAAAATTCGTTTTGCAGGCTCATCTCAAGAGTGAGTTGATGGGGAAATATCTAATTTCCCAAGCCCCAAGTAAACAATGGCCTGCGGCGAGGCAAGGCAGCGACACAAACTAAATAGATATTCAGATAATCGTGAGGGATACAATTTGCCAATCAGCGATAGCAGCCGAAACAGCCACCCAAGCACTTAGCCACCACCCACACAATTGTCACTTGGGCAAACAATTTTCGATAACGATTTGGTGTCCCCTTCTTTTTCTCTCTTCCCAATTTTGCCCGCAGCGAGAAAGCTGATTTGAAATCACGCTCGGATAGCACGAGTGGCCCTCAAGGTGATTCGATTTACACCACGCCCGCGGGTTTCCATCATCACCAGCAACAGCAGCAGCAGCAGCAGCAACAGCAACAGCAGCAGCAACAACAGCAGCAGCAGCAGGCAGCAGCGGCAGCAGCAGCCGCTCTACATGCCGCATCTCAACACCCGCAGCAACAGTATCCGGGACATGGATCGCCGGAGGCAATGAAGGTACGCATGGCTGCAATGATATTACAACCGCCCACTAGGGTCTAGCAGGCAATTGACACCAATAATAGCGAATCCAACGAACAGCTGACGCAACAGCAACACCAACACCAACACGAACAACTAACGACAACAACAATAACAACAACAACAACAACACCGAACGAACAGCAACTACTGGACGAGGGTAGCAATGTAAGCCACAATAATAACAACCACAAAATCAGTTCCACATCCACAACTACTGCCCTGACCAATAGCGATAATAACAACACCTCAGAGGTGGCCAAAACCAGTAGCGACAGCAGCAACAACAGCAGCAGCAATAGCAACAGCAACCGCAACAGCAACAGTGAGGGCAATAGTTCTTCGCTGACTAGCAGCAAGAGTAGTAAGCGGGATCTGGAGAACAATATGAACAGGGAGATGAAACCGGTGGTGACTGCCTCCAAGTTGCTCCACCTGAATGTGACGAGTGGTACGGAGCCGGATCCCCTGCCAGTAGGACCTTTGACCCCAGAGGAAACGCAGGTCCTGCTGCAAAAGCTGAGCATCAACAATCCGTTCTATCGCTTTCGCAAGCAGAGCAACTCCTTGAAGGAGCTGCGGCGTAGGTCGATCCTGCCACAAGTCCGCTCCCGATCCGAAATGGATTTGGGCCAGGTGGCATTAACACAGCAGCACAGTGAAGCCAAAGTTGTAGTAGTACTAGGAAGTAAGCAGCAGCAGCAGCAGCAGCAGGAAGTAGCCATAAGTAGGCCTAAGAGTAGCGTTAGCCTTAAGACTAGATCCATAAGCAGCCTGAGGGGCAGTCCCTCGGCCAGCAATCAGGCGGGAGACAGCTCCACGGTGATCACGAATCCCTTCTCCATATTCCACGACGATGAGATCCTCACGCTTAGTGTTAATTCGCGATTGAGAAATGCGGCCAATGCCAGAAGTTCCAGACCCCAACGGCAAGGTAGGGGTTTGAGAAGACTCTTTGAATCGAATCGCAATCAAAACCCCCCCTCCGAACATCACTATCTGCATGGAGTGCCTGTGAGGCGATTCGAAAGGCAGGACTTTGACAACGACTCGGGAGATTTGCTTGGCCGGAGGACAAACACCTCGAGTGGCAAACCCAAGCGATCGAAGGCCATCTTCAAGCAACTGTCACTGAGGAAACTACACCAACGAGGAGGAGGAGGAGGAGGAGGAGGAGCTGCGGAGGATCCCCCCTCGTTGCCAAAGCTCAGGCTGAGCTATCCCAACCGGACGCACAGCATCCAGAGCATGCGGGCCTCGGGCGGCGGCGGCTATGACATCCAGCACACCACTGCCTACCACCCGAGACTCAATCACGCCACCTCGCCGGTGACCAAGGCCAACTACTTCGAGCGACTGCAGGCCAAGACGCGGCAGGGCATCCAGAAGATACGCGACAAGTGCCGCAACTTCAAGGCGAGCAGTGGCGAGGGCGGAGTAGGAGGAGGAGGAGGCGGAGGATCCTCCTCCGAGTTCAGTGGCTTCCACACGCTGGCCAAGGACGAGAGCTTCCGCTTCATAAGCGACCGGGCACACATCTCCAGCTACGAGTCGCGCTGCAAGCAGGCCACCATCTACAAGAGCTACAAGTCGGAGATCGATCTCAGCAAGAATCTGCACTACCTGGATGCCTACCTGGAGCAGAACTTCGACCACCAGCTGGGCAGCTCCAAGCAGTCGGCCCACTCCGTGGGTCGGGTGAGTGGAGCCCAGCGCAGGGCCCTGGCCAAGCAGCCCAGTCCTGCCCCCGAGACGCCGCGTCGTGCGCGCCACAAGCGGAGTCAATCGCAGGCGGGCAACTATGCGGCCAACTACGAGAACCTCGGCACCCTGCCCATTGCCTCCAAGTCGAAGGGGCGCAGCTCAGCCCTCAACTCGGACTCGATGAGCAGCTCCGACTATGCCTCCGTGTTCAGTGGACCCACCACCAATCTCCGCCAGGAGCGGGAGCGGGAGCGGGATGAGGAGGTGCCCGATTCAAAAGACTTCAAACTGCGCTACGAGCATCCGGACAAAATGTGCGAGTACTACTTTGACAACCTAACGAGCTATGCTCTGGCTTTGGAGGAGAGTGAGGACTTGCTGCTGGCGGAAAGCGCCAAATCAGCGAGATTCTTCTACGACGATGGGGGTGTGGAGGAGGAGGAGGAGGATGATGATGATGATGACGATGGGATTGCCATTGCTGGAGGATTGGGTGAAACGGAGGTGACGGCAGCTGGCAGGCCGGATTATATGGCCCGCGACATACGCATCCGCGTCAGCGTGAACGAGTGCGAAGATGCTGATTGGCATCAGCCGGCTGGAGCGACCAGTGCGACCTCCTATAATGAGAATCTGGCCGAGAGCACATTCTACCAGTCGCTCAATCAGCACTTGCAACGCCAGGAGGTGGCTGATGATGATGGTGGGGACCATCTGGTGGGAGGAGGAGGGGAGAGCTACCTGGAGCACTTCCAGCGGCAGCAGCGGAGCAGGCAGCCCTATCCGACGCCCTATCAACGCGCCGAGCTCTACGGATTTGGCAGGAGAACCTCCGGAGAAGGAGGAGGAGGAGGGGCAGAGCTGCCGGATGTGGCCAGACAGCGAAGGGCCGACCTCATGGAGGCCCACTATGCCCGCAGCTATCAGGCGGGAGGAGCAAGTCGCGGCAAGGGCAGGCCCAGGCTCGAGATGGAGCGACAGCACGCAGCAATCCCGGCTGCAACAGCAGCAGCAGCAGCAACCGCAATGCCAACTGCTGCAACAGGCAGCAGTGTCATCAATTTGGCGTTGCCGGCACAAAGCTCCGATGTTCTGTATGCCACCAGCAGCAAGCAGCAGATAACGATGCCAATGCCAACCGCAGGGTCACATCTCCATCAGCCAAAGCCAGAGGCAGTGTTAGGATTGGGCGATGGAGGAGCAGCAGCAACGGCAGCAGCAACATCAGCTACATCGGTACCCGGCAACAGCTCAGCCGGAAATGCAAACAATCGCTATATGCTGGAGAATTTGCGCAAATACTATGCGAATCAGCAGCAACACCCGCCCGCGCACTCCGTCAACTCCTCCTCTTTGTCCAATTCGTCCTCATCGAACTCATCAATGTCACAGCAACAGCAGCAGCAGCAGCAACAACTAAAGCTCAATCTGAACCTGCAACCCACCGCGCCCAAAGTGCAGCAACAACATTTGGGCAACCGCCGAAACTCGAGCACTTCGAATGCCTCCTCGACCGCCGACAACTTCGACGCCTTCATAACATTGCGCAATGCCTCGGCGAATACGAGCACGGATTATATGGCCAAACAGCAGCAGCAGCACCAGCAGCAGCAACATCGTCGTGGGAAGCAGCCACATCAGCAGCAACAGCAGCCGCTCACCTCCGCACTCAACTACTATGGACACGCGGCCACGCCCACCCTGACTCCCGCCCTCGCCTACAATGGCAAATTAACGGCCACCGCAATGTTGTCACAAGTAAATTTAAGCAGAGCAGCCGCAGCGACAGCGGCAACATCGTCGTCCAGTGGAGCGGCAACAGCAATAACAACAACTGGGCCACTGCTGCTGCCGCATCAGCAACATTCGAGGTCCATGTCCACGTCCACGTCCAAGGGGGATCCTGGTTTTATCCTGGAGTACGAGTGTTAGCAATCGATCGGGGAGCAAGGATTGCTAGTTATTTCCATTTGTTTGCCTTGCCAAAAATTACAATTACAAATTGGCACATTTGCTTTTACACTGATTAGGACTCATGGTCGTGTGTACAAATATATAGAGTATGTAATATATGCAGTGGAGGAGGATGAGGAGGAGGAGTAGGAAAAGGAGCCAATTATTCGTATCATATCAGAAAAGAAGGGGATAGTTAAATCGTTTGCATAGGAAAATGCTTATCCACTTGATTATGCTAGGAGATAAATTAACGTAAACTACGACAATAATGCAACAATTCAATTAAAATTGATAAAGATATGGATAATGATAAAGAATTTGCAACTCGTATTTAGCATAGAGCAAAGCATACATTTATTAGTCACAATCCTAGCGAAGGACACATACATTGAAGCAGCATAAATCAAATTTATAGTTAAATCAATTAAACATCCATGTTAAGCGTTCTCCTAAATGTGTATGTGTATGTGTATGTATATCCGTAAAGTGTATATGAATACTGTGTACTGCATCCTATAAAGATAAAGAGTTTTTCGAATGTTCTTCAAACTCCAGTTCAATTACTTGCTAGTTCAGTTTTTGCTATCGGTATCCGTTTTTTTTTTCATTTTACAAATCAAACTCGTGCAAAGTTACTACACACGTACCGTAGAGTACATAACTACGAATATATGCATAACTATCTACGCTCGTTTTTAACTCTGCCGAAGTTTGTGGAATTGCAATGGGAAAAAATCAAGCAGTTACGAGCTTCCAATCGATTTAACGAACCGAAAAATTAGCTTGCAATGGAAAGGCATAATTTGGTTAAACGAAATTGATTTGCATTGCAAATAATACTAGCTATTACCGAGCCGGCCTGCTGAGTGCCATCAGCGATCGCCATTAATGAGCGTACACGGTGCGTATGCGCAATTTTTTCTCATTACAAGAGTCCGGGTGTCGTTTGCGCTGGCAACCACATAAATATTTGTACAGCGGCCGAAAAAGGAAATTCACGCACACACTGGAGGGTCACAAACATGCCGATTGCTTTGGGACGCCGCAGCACACACACTCGCGTATAAAAACAGCAATGAGCTCGCCGATGAGGGGCAAAAAAAAACAAAAAGGCTCAGGCAACGCGGCGTATGTGCAATGTATTTCATTTCCATGCCACAACGCCGTCTGGGGGACACCATGCAATTATCTGTGTGCGCGCAATTTATCTCATTTGCGGTTGAGTTATTTCCGACTGCAGCAAATAATACTGCCAGCCAACGTCCAGATCGCATTGGTCTGTCTGTATGTGAGTGTCCTGCCTTATTTTTTGTCCT